CCAGGCACCATGCGCGACAACCCGGAAGTGATAGCTCCGGGGGAGAGTTCATCCAGCAGCCTGGCAGTCAGGGGATGTATTGCAGGATGCCTCGACATCTGGGCATTGCTGCAATACCGTTAGAGTGGTTGGAAGCAAACCCGATCACTTTCAGCGCTCAAATTTCCCGCAGTCATATCGGGTACATTCGAGGTCGTTAATGACCATTTTTTGCCTGACGTACCTGATATTAGACATGTGCAATCCGTTTCGGCCCGAGTGGAAATTCGGACAAATTTCGGCAATTCGGAAATTTCCGAAGTGCTTCAGATTTCTGAGAGGTGTCAAAACAGAAGAGGGAGGGAAAATTAAGGTAATGATGACAAGAATCTAACCCTACCCCTACCATTAACCCTAACCCTAGTAGAGTTAGGGGTAGAATTAGGGAATTGCTGAATTCCCGAATGTCGTAAGTGCCGAACTAATTTTTTGCCTATGCACATCCCTACCTGATACGTCCGCGGTCACTAAGGGGGAAATATAATATCTCTCTCTCTATATATATGTAGATAAATAAAAAATATATACATATAAATATATATAATTACATAAATATACACGTAGGATTTAAATACATATTTATGTATGTATAATAAAATTCTACGTGTATATTTATGTAAGCTTTTTACATAATGACGCCATCTTATTAATTATAATTTGAGGGACCAGCCTGACAACCCAGGCAGCAAGTCCAGACAATTTAACAAGCCCTATGTACCTTTCCAAAACACTATAAAACCTGGACATAAGGGGTACTCTTGTACTTGTAGTGTTTCAAAACAGTAAAACTTATCATGACGATGATCTCACCAGTAAAAATGCAGTTTTTGTGTAAGAAATCCAGGAAACAAATATGAACGCTAAATTTGCCCAGCCTTTGTGACGAAGTGGCTATTAAAAAAGACTGGACATACCCCATTTTGAATACCCTGGGTAGTCTACTTTTTCAAATGGTATGCCATGGTGGGGTTAATTTTATCACATGACAGGAGGTTTTGTATTTTGCATAATCTTTCTTTACTAACTCCACAGCAGCAAAGAAAAGAGTGACAAAACTGAGAACCAATCACAATGCAGTATAGAGTATAAGAGGTGTAACACATGACATCATTTCCTCTTTCTTTGCTGCTCCATCACAAGCTAAGTACAAAATTTGGTTTCTCATTATTCAGTTCATATATATTTTACATTGTCATTATTTTACATAGCTGTGACTTTGTATATTTACCTACACTAATTCCTATTTATATATATAACTATTGACCCCATTTCGGGGGGGCTAACCCCTCTCCCCTGAGGTCTGCCCCTTGTTCCCTCAGGGACCTTCCTCAGGGACCTTTTTTCCCCCTATTTTCTACCCTGGGACCTTGCCTCTGGCTTCCCAGGTACATTCCACGGCTCCCCGCCGTCCATACCCCTACTCCAGGGTCGGACTGGGGATACAAAGCAGCCCTGGAAAAAAATTTTGTGCCAGCCCCATAAGTCACTGCGCCATATATTGTCGCGTGTAATATGTAAGGCTATGTCTTGCCAGGACAGATGATTGAGTAATATATATATATATATATATATATATATTGCTTTTTCTAATATAAAATATTGGTCCTTTCAGGGTAAAACGTTTAATTATACAGTAAGCATACGCACATGCAGACACAGGCAATTTCACTGACATTTCAGTGACACACACAAGCTCATTGATACACACACACACACACAGCTTAATGTGGTGGTACTGGTGTCTATAGCATGTCCCTACAGGCTTTTCAACGTAAACACTGACTTTTCAGACAAAAGGCAGTGTTTACATTGCTTCAAAGTGACACTGCTAGTGACAGTCACTCAGACGGTCACTAGAGGTGCTTCCTGTGTTAGTGCCCTCCCGCGCTGCTGAATGAGACTGGCGCCGGAATATGACGTCATATTCCGGCGCTGGTCTCATTCAGCTGCGTGCTGGGGAGCAGAGAGCGCAGCGCAGCTCGCGCAGCTCCCTCAGCGGCCGCCAGGACAAGTCCGCCAGCGGCCGCCAAAAGACCTCCCCAGCGGCCAGGGGAGGGCTGGCAGCCTTAGGCCTGGGGGGCAAAACCAGTCAAGTAGACTGGTGCACCTGCCCAGGATCAGAGC